TCGAAACCTGATCTCATGGTCAGAATGCGAATGTTCTAACCACTCGGCCACATGCCCACTTTATTAGCATACATTTTAAAAAATTAACATACCTAATTATATCTTTTTTGGTTTAAATTTTAATATAAGTTATTTTTGAGAAGCAAAGCATATATATATATATTTGGGCAGCAACCTTCCTTTTATACATGTGTCATTGAATATGACAGACAAAGAAAACTTTCATTATAAATTCTTTATATAAAACATTTCAAACCAAGCTCTCTTTGACAATGGTAGTAAAGTGTAGGCAGTTTTTAAAAGACATCCCATCCTGCAATCAAAACGATGATTCTTCTACGACAGCTTAGAATTACTACTACTTCTATACAATGCAACTTAGAACACAAGCATAGAAAGGATATTAACAACAAACTCATTGAAAATAGTCAATGAATTGCCCAAAAGCATTTGGGTCAATAATTGTAGTTTCTACACTCTCTTGGAACACGCAACATGGAAACTATAAGAACATTAGAAAAATTAAATAAAAATTTACAAGATTAAGCTTGTCTGTCACGTTCACTGAAACATACACACACACATATATATATACACACATATATATATATATATATATATATATATATATATATATATATATATATATTAGGTTAATGCTTTTGTCCAAGCACTAGGGCGAGACCAAATACATGATTTTTTCAAAAGGCGTTTGGAAATTCTGAAATAAATTATTATTTTTATATTCAAATAATTTTTAATTTTTAAAATTTTAAAGATATTAATTAACTCATTCTTGTATTCTACTTTACAGTTGGAAAATAAATAAATTGAAAAAAAAAAAAAACACTTAGGCAAAGATAAACGCAGATGAATTAAATATGGAAAAAGGAATCCGTGAGTTTTACAATGAGAAAGGTTACTTAATGATAAATCAGACGTACACACACATGCGCACGACCATAGACGAATAAACATACCCACGTACATATATGCACATACATATACAAGTACACATACATATATACCAGTAAAAACACAGACATACACGTGCAAACCCACTCAAGCGTACATACAAACACGCCTGTGCACGGACACACACACACGTATGCACATATACGTACATACACGTACAGAGGTGCATATGCGCACATACATCTAACGTTTGAGTAATGCGTTTAGTAGAGTAATATGATGATATATTTTAGTAATAATTTTTCTGACTGTCTCTTTCTCTCTCTTATATATATATATATATATATATATATATATATATATATATATATATATATAAATATTCCTATATTATATATTGTTTATAAATGTTCCTATATTTATAGAGGGAAAGTACTCAATACCAAGGAGAAAGTAGATATAGGTATAGAAAATGTGTATATAGCAATCAATATTGGAAATCGATCACCATCCAGTGTTGATTTCTATGTCCACACTGTATGTGTGTGTGTGTGTGTGTGTGTGTGTAAAACATTCAGATATAGCTAAAAATATATCTTTGAAAGGACAATATGAATTAAGATAAAAGAATATCTTTTTTTAGCCGACGCGTTTCGTCTTCTGCTCAATGAAAATGTGATTTGTTAAAAGTTATCATTTGTTGTTGATAAATTTCACCAGAGGAAGAAACGCGTCGATAAGATAAGTTTTCCTTTTGTCTTTATTCATATATATATATATATATATATATATATATATATAGTAACAATAATTAGTGAAAAACGCTTTGCTATAATATTTATATTTTATTAATTTTTATTTTTATATGATAATATTCTATAATAATAATAATATAATATAATGATAATATATTATAATAATATTCTATAATAATAATAACAACAATAATAATAAAAATAAATTTAAAACTAAGATGAAATTGAATACTTTATAAAATATTGTAATTATATCAGAAGAATCATGTACATTATTAAAAAAAAATTAAAAATCGTTTATCTATTTGCCAATTGCCTGCAATTTTGTTTATCTTTTCCTCTACCCGATATTGAATGATTTGTGGTGGACAATGTTTTTCTGATCCCAAACTTACGACCTGAGAATATTGTACATAATAACGACATTTTCATTGTGCTATTTTGTTTGTTTGTTTTTTTGTTTGTTTTGAAATTGAGAAACACGGCTCCGATTCTGGCAAGAAAATCGAAAACAAATGGCTTCTTCAAAATGGCTTCTGAAGGTAATAACTGAAACATGGCCGGGTAATTCGACAGAAATCTTGCATTCGGAAAATTTTTTTCACGCAAAGGAAAGATGAATTTAGATATATTGAGATTTAGTTAGTGATAAAAAAACAAACCCTCCTCCATACACACCTAAATAATAAATAAATGCTTACATAGATGGTTTCCTATATGATAATGACTGTTATCTGACAATGTATCACACTTAACTGAGTTCAAGCCGCGGTAGGAGCAAAACGACATTTCTAGCTGGCGGCCAAACTACGTACCTGTAAATTTTACAGCATCCACATAATAATCTACCTGTTGCAGATTAACGCCGTAATATACCTCCGAGATTTTAACACACACACACACACACACACAGAGACTCATAATTAATGTTTTTTTTCTATAAATGTATGTATACAAAAACATATGTAAAAAAAAAAAAAAATTAAAAAATAATTAAAAATAAAATAAAATTTAATTAAAAAATTTCAATTTCAAAATTTAATTAAAAATAAAATAAGATTAAAAATTTAGTTTAAAAAAATTACATTTAAAAAGTAATTAAAAATAAAATAAAATTTAATTAAAAATTTAAATTTAAAAATTTAATTAAAAATAAAAATTAAATCAAAAAATAGTTTTTTTAAAAAATCTATTTAAAAAAATTAATTAAAAATAAAATAAAATTTAATTAAAAAATTTAAATTAAAAAAAAAAAATTAAAAGTTTATTATTTCGGCGTCCTCACCACTTCTTGAGCATTTGTAGCTGCATCAATATCATTTTAAAGTCCTAAAGGACGAAACGCCCAAGCGATAATTTCTTTCCAGTTTGTCATTAATTTTCCTAACACATATAGCTATATTAATTATTATTAATATAATAAAATAAAATAATTCACTTAATATATCCGAACTCCAAGTTACTTTTGTATGACTATTAGAGGAGTTCTTTGTGAGTTAAGTGTATTTACGTTTATTTATTTAGGTCAGATTTTTCTTTTTATTCTTAGAAAAATAAAATGGTAGCTAATTATTGTGGCCATGTACTAGAGTAGGCTTAAAGGGTATCATCCTGACATAAAATTAAGAAATGCCAAATGATCGAGAAGCATCGCCGGGAATGTTTGACAAAATTCTTTCCGGGTCAATCATTTGATTTTCTGACATCCGGAAGCGGAAGGCCGTGGTTCTCACCTGTACTTTTCATTGCATTCTAAAGCGATCCAGACTTTAATGCGCGCCCCCAGAAGCACATATACGCGGCAAAAATACATGTGTGCACGCGCACACGCACATACTCAGAAATATAGACACGCTCGCATGTTGGCACATACACGCATAAAATTCAACACAGACGAATACATACGAACAAATGCATAGATACAGTCACACCGATGCGCTTACATGTTCTCACGATATATATATATATATATATATATATATATATATATATATATATATATATATATATATATATATATATTCATACATGTTTCATTAAATGATACAGGCAAGTGTTGTCTATTTATTTTATGTAAATTCTTTTCATAACGTCTGATAAGCATAATAACATTATCATTAAACGAAAGAAAGAAAATCAAAATATTGATCCATATTTTTTAATCCAATCTAAGCTTTCGGCTTACATAAGCCATTATCAAAGATGTCAATTACTGTACAATATATTAAGCAATATACGGACAAGATAGTCTGCTATTGTTTACATGGATGATTTCCAATGTGATTTTCTTTCTTCGTTTAATGATAATATTATTAAGCTTATCAGACGTTATGAAAAGAATTTACATAAAATAAATAGACAACGTCTATATTATTTAATGAAACATGTATGAATGAAAAATGCTGCCTTAATACACACAATTTAAATATATATATATATATATATATATATATATATATATATATATATATATTACTTCAAACTTTTATTTATATATATATATTACTTCAAACTTTATTTTTAGTGGATACCAGTATTTGTGTTGAATATTCCGTTTTTTTTTTTAAATTGTTTACTTCTCCTAACAGCCGGCGTCTTCGAGAAAACATAAAAAATATGCCCTCCAGCAGGATTCGAATCTAAGTCTGTTTTTGTAGGAGAAAATGTCGTCTTATCCAACACTCGGCTACGGAGAGCCTTACAGGTTGTAATATTGTCGAAGACCACGGTTTCTTTATAAATAGTTTTGTCGAATGCGCAGACCATTAGACGAGGTGAATACTGTTAAATTAAAGGCAAAGTTCTACTCAAATACAGGTATCCACGTTTGAAGTAATAAAAATATGTCGGATTAGATATAAAAATACCTTAATTCTTTATATATATATATATATATATATATATATATATATATATATATATATATATATATATATATATTCAAAAAATTCTTTTGGCGTTGATAGTCCGCTGAAGTTTTCTCGGATTGTCAACTTACAGGAATGACAAAAAGAGTTTTCTGAATATCTGCCGTAATTGATACGCAAAAATATATACCGTAAATGTAAAATTGAAAGCATACGTAAAAAAAAAAGTATTTAAAATGCACAAAGACACAAATACTCACGCCCAAATGCTGGCATAAATAATTCATTATATGATTCACATTTCTGTTAAAGACATTTAAATAGTCCCGCCACGATAGTTGTTCATTTGTTCAGTTTCGTGGTCCGAACTTCGAATCTCTCTGGGTCCTATATTGAGATTTTGACTTCCGAATAATGAATCACCAGATACAAGCAAATATACACGTGTGCTTAACATAGGGTGATGGTTAACAAGTTCGAGTTACAGACCATCTACTTGATACTGGATATCTCACAACTGAGACTCTATGTGAACCTAAATTTACGAGACCATTGCTTAACACAAACTCATATAAACTGTCATAGGCACACATCAAGTGATACAACCAAACATGTACATATATATATATATATATATATATATATATATATATATATATATATATATGTGTGTGTGTGTGTGTGTGTGAAAGGTCATATACACGTGAAACATTCACCGTGCTGTGTTGATTTATATGTCCACACTATATTTACAAAGCCTTTATCTCTGGTATTGGACACTATTTACCTATAAATATAGCAGATTTTTCACAATTTAAAATCCATACACACACACACACACACACACACACATATATATATATATATATATATGTCTTATATCGGCGAAGAATTTTCAGTACCAGATATAGAAGGGTTGTAGATATATACAGTGTGCTCAGGAATCTACAGTACATAGGGAATATCAATTTCACTCCTAAAGTGATCTTCAGACCATTTACATATCTATCTATCTATCTATCTATCTATCTATCTATCTATCTATCTATCTATCTATCTATCTATCTATATGTAGTTATGTGCATATGTACGTATGCGTATGCTGTCGACTTGTGATACTGCTATTCGTCTTTACAGACAGGCACATGAACATATATACATATACATGCGCAAAGGCACACACAAATGCGAACACATGTGCGCACACACCAAGAAGTACACATATATAAGAAAACACACTCACCTGCATACACAATTATACTGACACGTAGACGTACATGCACATAAACACACGCACATGGACGCGCCCAAATATGCACAACGTACACGTAAATCACGCTCACTTAAATCACAACCATGTACACACACACAAACACTCATATATATATATATATATATATATATATATATATATATATATATATATATATATATATATGAATAAAACAATTCCTATAGGCTGGACCTAAATTTGCATGTTCGTAAACATTTTTATTCTTGTTTTTGTTATGTAAATTTATTTTTATTTTTGTCAAATGAACTTTCTTTGCATTTTTTTAAATTTAAATTTTTGTTTGTTTTTTTTTTCGAACACTTTTCAGTTTTCGATTTTTAACAAAATAAAAAAAAGCTCCCCAAAAATGATGACTATGTTTTGACTCACATGTGAAACTGCTTTTGTCGATGCTTTTATGAAATCACTTGAATCCTATTGTTGCTTCTGACGAAACTATGGCTAGAATTTTTAACATTCTTCAAATTCCCAGTAAGTGGTTATAAAATGAAATGGAGGAAATTTGTGTTTCAATTAACAGCTATCACAATAAAATTAAAGCCATCGTTTTGGATAAAGTTAAAAGTAAACGCTACTAATGTCATCTAATAACAAAGCGAACTTTCTGGCCAGCCTATTCCGTCAATCAAAATTATCAGAGTATTCGCTTTGCCTTATTTTTTAAAAGATGGATTTCTCTTATGGTAAACCTTTTAATTTTATTTTCTTTAGAAAAAATTATGAGTTTGATGTATCTGATCCGTTATTTAAAAAAAAAAAAAAATTGTGGCTTCACTTTCAGATTCTTCTGTAATTACGGCTATTCTTTGCCTAAATTAGAAGGACTAGAACTATGTAATGAATCGTCTTTTACACGAGTGAATACATTTATTTTAGCGCTAATTCACGTCGGCTACATTTCAAATACTCAGATATGAATACGAAACACGATGCAGAAGAAACATCTATTCAGCTCATATAATGACATATACTCTTAACGATTAATAATTTTTACTTAATACTACTTTTCATTTTAAATTGAGTGGCTTTTCATCGCAACTAATTAGAGCCTCGATTTACGTAAACAACACCGATCACAAATAAAAGAATAAACTCTAAGGGATATGATTTTATTTTCTCAAAACATTGAATGCAATACATTAAAAATATAAATTCTGTTATCTATGATAATTTGAATAACAGCATTACTTTATTGTAGTAAGCACTCGCTGAGAAATTAGGAGTTTCGAAATCAATACTCAGCTGAAATCTTAAAGCCCGCGCCCCAATCATGGGGCTGTATCTTTTTATTAAGACCTTGTAATTTGTGACTCAACCAACAGGCTGTATCATTAAGACCTTGTGCTCGGCAATGCAATCCCCATGTTTTAACTACCCATTAAGACATTATTCTCTGCGACCGAACCCTCAGGCTGTATCGGAGCATTAAGTCCTTGTCGTCTGTGACCCAATCCCCAGGCTGTATCGTCCCATTAACTCCTTGTCTTCTGCGATCCAATCTCCAGACTGTACCGTCTTATTAAGTCCTTGTTCCCTGTGACCTAATGCCCAGGATGTATCTTCTTATTAAGGCTTATACCCTGTGAACCAACCTCCAGACTGTATTTTCTCATTAAGATATAGTGTTATGCAGCCTAACTCCCAGGCTGTATCGTCCCATTAAGAACTTGTTCTCTGCGACAAAATCCAAAGTTTGTATCTTTTCATTAGGACCCTTTCCCCTGTGACCCAGTCCCCAGGTTGTATCTTCTAATTAAGTATTTGTTCTTTGCGACCCAACCTACAGGCATTATCTTCTCTTTAAGGCTTTGTCACTTGCGACAGGGACCGTGGGACGAGGATAATCTACTCTCGTAGCTTAAAAAAAGGGCTCCGTTCGAAATTCCCAGTAAGTTAACCGGATCAGCATACACCTGATGAAGGCTGGATGTCACAACGGTCGAAACGTTGTGAAAAAAAAAAAGTCTTGATATAAATAACGATAATTGTTCACCTCAGAAATTCAATAATGCAAATATTTTCCAGGGTCTACGTATAAATTTGCGGTGTTTTTAACGTTTAGATACGAGGAGGATTGGCGAAGAATTGACGGGTAAAAGTTGCCGATTTACAATTCTTTTCTATGGCGGAAGGCTACAATTATTTGTAATCTAAGGTGACTAAGTAAAGATTAGCTAACCAAATACCTAAACTTTACATATCGTAATAAAAAAAAATTAGATTAACACGGTACAGCATACCCAACGAGGGCCCAAACCCGTTTGCCTCCAAGCCAGAATGTCCTCAAGCCTGAATGTCTCTAAGCTCGAATGTCCCAAAACCCGTTAATTCCCAAGTCTCTCTTTTGCCAAACACAGCTGTTTCGACACCCGTCTGTCCCAAAGCTCGTCTATCCCCAAACCTATCTGTTCCCAAGCCTGAATGTCCCCAAACTCATCTGTCCCTAAACCTCTATTTCTCTAAACCCGTCTGTCCCCAAACCCGTCTGTTCCTAAGTCAGTCTTTCTCCAAATCCGATCGTCCGTCCTCAAACTCGAATATCCCCAAACACGTTTTTCCCTAAACCCGCATACCCCCAAGCCAGTCTGTTTCCAAACCTTCTGTCCCAAGCCTGTCTGTTTCCAAACCTTCTGTCCCAAGCCTGTCTTCCCCAAGCCCGTGTGTCCCCAAACCCGTCTGTTCCTAAACCTGTCTTTACCTAAACCCGTGTCCCAAAACCCGAATGCTCTCAAAGTCGTCTTTCCCTAAACCTGTATGTCCCCAAGCCAATCTGTTCCCAAATCCACTGTCCCAAGCCTGTTTTACCTCAAGCCCGTCTGTCCTCAAAACCGTCTGTTCCAGAACCCGTCTGTCCCCAAACCCGTATGTTCCTAAACCTGTCTTTCCTTAAACTCGTGTCCCCAAACCCGAATGCCCTCAAACTCGTCTTTCCCCAAACCCGTCTGTCCCCAAGCCTGTCTTTCTCTAAATCCTTCTGTCCCCAAACCTGTCGTTTCCTAAACCCTTCTTTCCCCAAACTTGTCTTTCCCCAGCCTCGTCTGCATTCAAGCCCATCTGTCTCTAAAACCGCCAGTCTTTTTTGTAAACTTACCAGTTTGTCAGCAAAATACCCCAGCACCCCTGTATATTATTAATTATAAGGTTGCCAGCCTGTCAATACACCTGTCTATTTTGGGTTTAACCACATAAAGTCGACTTCTGAAAATCAATATTTAAGACCGATTTTTCCCCATATTTTCATAATTTTAAAGCCAGGTTCTAGAAGGAACCTTACACGGCTAGCATAAGGGTTATCGCATAGGCATAGTCTGTGGTGTTCAGAAGCAGAAATCATTCCCGTCTATATTAAATAGTAGTGTAGACTGGGCTCATAGCCTTGGGTGGCAGCCAGTCTACGAGAAGGCTATTCTAAATTAAAAAAAATGAGGAAATGGCAACTGGAAACCTTTCCACTATGTATCCTGAAAGCTGCTATTCAGAGACAATAAATAAAAGGAATATGTGGAGGTTGAATATTGTATTTGTCCTAAAGTAACGTGTTATTAAAAAAAATCTGGCATTAATGTTCATTTAACAGCGATAGCACAGGGTTGTGATTTTAGTGTTTTAAGCGAGAACTGCTTAGTAGTGACGTTATTTTGTTAGACTGGTACGCTGGTGTGTATGAAAAAGCTGTTGGGTTGGTGCATAATTATCAGGCGTCTTTAAACAATATTTATTATGAAAAAAGAAACATAACAATTCAGCAATAACATTTTTAAATGATTATTCCGGAGCGTATGACTATCGACACGCCCTTTTATAACCTGAAAATAAAATAATATTTTTATTAAAAAAAGTAAACAAAACAGCAATTCTTATTAACAAATAAAGCGCCTATAAAAACGCCTGATAATTATGCACCAATCCAATATTTATAAAATAGTAAGGAAAACTCTCACGTTAGCAAACAGGAAATTATCAATCTTTGGTTTGCGTTGTGCTTGGTATGGTGAAGTAGGTAGTCTGCTCTGTGAGCGCTTCGCGCATTAATCACGCGAGTTGATCTTATATTAGTGTAAACAATAATAGTAGGTTGGACATAAATGTATTCCGACGTAAATCAAACGTAGAACAAAGATCTATACATTAGAACATAACGTAATTTTTAAAGGTTACATTGCGTTTCGTGTCGGCTCTAGTTTCAATTCTTCAGCGCCAATGTTACATTTTCTGTTCTTACTTGATTATATGACCGGCAATAGTTGTAGCATTGTTTCTAGGAGGAAGCGATAGAGAGGTTAACAGGAGGAAGCATGACAACTCCTTGGCTAGAATTTCATTGCATCCTGCTGGTTTACCTTAGAAATGATTCTGGGTGTAGGAGGCATGCTGACTCTTTAAATTCTTTCAGTCATTTCCCTGTCTTCGTACGTTATTGGTTTTACAACTAAACTTAATAAAAAAAAAATCTATCACTGCCATAAATCAACGCTTACAGGGACTTCTGACCGGTAGGTTGTCATTCTGGGCCAACTTATGCATTCTGTGACAGTGACACGAGCGGAATGGATGAAAAGTTGGTGAAAAGCAGAACCCCGGAGAGAAGATATTGGATAGAGACGGGACTACACATTTTAGGAACGCTGTCTGGATGTCGTAAGTGTCCGCATGTTTAACTGTTGTGCATTTTGTTTTATTTGTTGCGTTCAATTCTGTTTATTGTTTGTATTGCAGACACCATCACTTTTGACTTTTTCAGAAGTTGCATGCTGTGTATACCTTGTGGAATGATGTGCGTACTTGTATATGTCTATCTTCAAAAGAGGTCAGCACATGATTTATGACCAAGGAATCCTAAATTATCAACGATGTGTGGAAATGGTTTCCCATCTGGCTAACATATTAAGCGACAAATTACACTACCAAAGAACCATATATATATATATATATATATATATATATATATATATATACATACATATATACATATATACATATATATATATATACACACAAGGTGTCCATAAAGTTCATGTGCACTTTAAAAAATTTATAACTTTATTTGTATTTGCGATAGAAATAATTTGTAAAAAGGATTAGAAAGAAGTAAATATATATTTTTTAAGGTTTTATTGAAATTTTATTTAAGTTTCCACATATCCTCCATCATTAGCAATAGAAAGGGTAATACGATTTTGCAGTTCACGGGAAACATTTGCCAACTGTTTTACAGTAATGCCTGAAATCACATGAGTTTTTTTTTAGCTATACTTAAAACTAGTTACATTAAACTTTATAACATATTTTGCAGATTATTTCTATCGCAAATACAAATGAAGTTAAATTTATGGACACCTGTATATATATATATATATATACAATGTAACCCGGATATAAGAGACCCGGATATAAGAGAAACCCGGATATAAGAGAGATTTTCTCTGGTCCCAAATTAGAGCCTGTGTTAATGTATATAAAATAGACCAAACCCGGATATAAGAGAAACCCGGATATAAGAGACTTCTCCAGTCCCGCCAACTCTCTTATATATATATCTTATATCCGGGTTACACTGTATATATATACGGGACCGTCATGTAGCCTGACGTGCCTTAACCGATTGGGCCACGGAGGAGTTTTCGGTTAGCAAAGTCGATTTTACTGTTTTTAAACCCAGTTCTCCATGATTTTCTCTCATTCATTCATATCTGCTAAATGCGTATCCAAATGTAAACAAATGACGTCATACATTATGAAATGGACAAAGTCCGACAATTATTTAAGACATTTTTTTATGTTTATACGTTCTTTTTATAGATACAAATATTTAAGTAAATGCTCTGTTTATAATAAACAGTATTAACAACATTTACCGGCCTGAATGTCCGAGAAATTTTCAGAGAAAATATGCGTTTCATATGTCATAAGGACAATTTCCTTACTGTTTAAAAATAGTAAAATCGACCTTTCTAACTTGAAACGCTCCTCTGAGGCTCAATATATATATATATATATATATATATATATATATATATATATATATATATATATATATATAAAACGTTTTTTGTTGTAATGTGGATTTATTGAGAAAAATATTATACTTTGTTTTACATAATTTCACGACACGTGTTTCTGGTCTCACTAACCGTCTTCAGGTGAAAGTGGAGATTTCTACATATTATTAAAAATAATTAATTTTTCTTCAAATGTGGAATATTCTCGATATGAGACATTCTGTTTGTGTGTTGGCAATCCGAATTTTCTTTCTAGAATTGTCAATGAAGAGTTCTGCGCGAAGGGTCATAAAACAATTAAGGTTTGTCCAGCGAGTAGTTATCGGCATTTAATCTTTTAATGTTTTAGTGACCTCTATGTGCTCTTGGATCTGTTTCTATTTTGGTGTGTTCCTGTCAGCATGCGTGTATATATGCGTGCGTATATTTCTTACTACGAGGAATTCGTAAACTTATTTGTACTTATACACGCATACACACACATACGCACATACACACACTATCCCACCACAAGTAGTCAGTACACACACACATATTTCCCAAGCTGGAACCAGCACACACACACACACGCATTTTAAGTTGTCAACATCCGCATATACATACATAAATGTATGTATGTGTACATACACATATATATATCTCCTCGTGTCTCCCGTATATGAGTGTGCGTCCATGTATGTGAGCGATTTGATCATTGTATTTGGTCACCCTGTGTGCATGTTTTTTTTTGAATCTATTCAGTTCGGGTTTGAATTTGTCTATAAAGTTTTTTCCTGTATTTGTAGATACGAGTAATTGTCTGTTTGATATATCAGCATGATATTAAACTTACCTGGTTACATTTGAAAATGTTTGTGATACAAAAAGTTTTCTGTTGTCTGTCAATTTTATATTGCTTTTGTGTAGGGGAGACCTTGTTGTTCAGTTGGCTGATGCCTATATATGACTTCTTACATTTTGTGCATTTAAGTGCATAAATTACATTTTTGGAGTTGCAGTTTACGTGTCGTGAAATTATGTAAAACAAAGTATAATATTTTTTTCTCAATAAATCCACATTACAACCAAAAACGTTTGCGGCACCACCCTTCTTTTTAATATACATACTTTTCTCTCGTTGGAACCACTACAACATATTTTTTTTATATATATATATATATATATATATATATATATATATGACAGTTACTGATATGTGAAATTATATATATATATATATATATATATATATATATACATGTGTGTGTCCATTCGTGGTATGTAGGTCATTTTGAACGGTCTTGTTTCCAGATCCTTTCACACGAACACGGCTGTCCCCAAGGCTATATCCTGGGTCCTATGCTGTTTCTAATCTTCAACAATGATCTTCCTGATGACATCAGTTACCAAGTAGGCAATTATGCAGATGACACTACCATTTACTGTCTCAATAGCAAATCCGTCAGAGCTGCTTTTGAAAAGGAACTCCAATCAGTTGTTAACTGGGACAGGAAATGGCTTGTAAATTTTAATGCCTCCAAAACTAAACTGCTCTCATTTAACCACCATAGAGAAACTTCCCCGCCCCCTCATCAGCATGGCTGATGATCGAGTTCGGTAGAGCGTCTCACTGCGCCTTCTTGGCCTCACGTTTTGAACTCACTTGAAGTGGAATAACTACATTGTATCAATAGCTGCATCTACTGCAAGGAAATTTGGTTCATTGTGTCATGCTGGAATGTTTTTCTCGTCAGAGTCCATCTTGCCAAATCAACGATTCTTCCGTGCATTGAATACCGTTCCTATATTTGGTCTGGTGCACATGGTATTCCTCTCGTGGTTCTTAACAAAATCCCAAGAACGATCTGCAATGTAATCGATTCTGACTTGGCCTTTCGAATTCAGTTACTTTCTCACATACGTGATGCGGCATTCCTCTGTCTTTTCTATAAATATTTTCATGGCAACTGCTCCAACGAGCTTTTTTCCAAATGAATTTAAGTGTGCTACTAGATTGGCATCTAGGTCCCACCTTTTTTTTTTTACTGTTGAAATAGTTAAATACTACCACCACTTCTACACCAACAGCCTCTTCTCTCGCACTTCGCACCAGTTGGACTTCCTTCCCTGATAACTATAATCTTCAAAAATTTAAATGCAACGTCAATCGCCATCTTCTATCGTCTTGAACCCCGTTCATCCTTCATCCTTTACGAAAATCCCCGCTATACCCACTCTTTTCTCTCACGTTCACTCTCTGTAACCCTCTGCGTACTAGTTACATTCCCACCTTGCTTGGGGTGAAATGATTATATATATATATATATATATAATTATCATTATTATTATTGTTATATTTTTATTATAATAGATTATAATAAAAGCATTTTACATCGCTATACAAAAGCTTTCATGTTTCAATACTATGATTGTACTTCCTCAGGCTATGGTACATAATTTGTGATAAAAATGATTTACTTAAAAACAAATCGTTACCCCTTTTCGGAAGTTAAAGGGTATATATATATATATATATATATATATATATATATATATATATATATATAAACGTTATTTTTAGTGGAAACTTGTATTTGAGTAAACGTCCCGTTTATTTATTAAACAGTATATTTATTTATTTTCCTCTACTGACCTGAATATTCGAGAAATGCTATTAAAGAAAATATATCCGCTCTCCGGCAGGATTCGAACCTAGAGGAAAGTAGATTCAGATACCGTCTGACGTGTTTTGACTCTCGGCTACAGTTTCCATTGATGACCAAACAAAATTGAATAGTAACTTTAAATACAGATATTTCTATGACTCTTCAAATAGACATATCTGCCCAGTTATGTATCCTAATATAAACAAGTAAACAAAGCAATTGGTAAAAAAAAATATCTTGAAATACTAAAGAGTAAATTTATTCGATAAAATCGCCATTTACTTCAAGCACGGCCTTCAGACGACTTTGGAATCTCCTGCATCTCTTCTGGATGGTCTCCTTGTTTAAGTTGGTGAATGCTGCCATAATCCTTGCCTTCAGTTTGTCTTTGATGTTACAAGGTTTTTTTTTTTTTTTTTGGTTACTTGCTCAACTGCGCCCCACACATATTAATCAAGGGTGTTAGGAGTTATGAGGCCAGATGTAAGAGATGTTTCTCCAGATCAACTGCTGATGTGCCAACGATAATTGCGGAAAGAGTCTATCATACTCTAGATAAAAACGGTGAAGTCCGGCTGTAGCAGTGGATATCTCGAAAGCCTTTGACAAGGGCTGGCATTCAGGTCTTCTCTACAAGTTGAAAAGCGTGATATCTCCGGGGACGTTTTTGAGTTGATCCAGTCGTTCCCATAAAATCGTGAAATGTTTGGAACGGCCACTCGTCTACATCCTCTCGTACTAACGGGAGTGTCGCCTAGGGTTCATCCTTGGTCCTACGCTGTTTTTAATCTTTATTAACGACCTTCCAGATGACAACAGCTCTCAACTTGGCATCTATGCTAGCAACACAACCATTTACTCCTGCCTCGATAGTAAGGCTGATCAGTCAGCAGTCAAAATGGCAGCTGATGTCTAAAACAACCTCAAGACCATCATTAACTGGGACAAAAGATGACTTGTCAATTTTAACGCTTTCAAAACTAAACTTCTCTCCATTAATCATCTGAGATACCTCTCTCTGTCTTCCATCAGCATGGCTGATGCTATCCTCCAAGAAAGTGATTCATTGCGCCTTCTCAGGCTAACTTTCTTGACTGACATATGGTGGAAAGTCTATATTGAATCGATTGCTAGATCAACTGCCAAGAAATTCGGTTCACTGTGCTGGACGAGAC